TATATATATATATTTTTTTTTTTAATTACATGGTACTGAGTTTTTTACATGGTCTCTTTGTCTTGGAGGCTTCAGACATCTTTAGACTAACAGGCAGTTGCATGTAGGCCTCTGGTTCTCACTAGTGTTGGTTGGCACCTTGGAGGATCACTCACGTCAGCCTTCTAACATCAGCTTACTTAGGTTTGGTGGATTCACTCTTTTACTTATTTCATTTATATATTTTTTATTAATCCATGTTTGCAGTGCAGAATGATCACATTTCTTGTATGGAGTTGGTGCTTGGACACAAGCATCTGTTTTTGTTTGTTTGTTTGGGTTGGTGTGTTTTTGTTTTTTTTTTTTGGTACCGGGGATTGAACTGGGCACCTTGTGCTTGTGAGGCAGGCACAGTGCCATGGAGCTAAATCCCAGCCTGGACACAACTCACTGTAAACTCCGTTTTCATCCCCTTCCCCTCCTTCTCTTGGTCCCCACTCCTGCTGGAGACCCATTTCCCTACTTCCTTTTACTGATCTTTTATTACGCTCTTTCTTTGTACTTTAGATTGTTCATGTACGAGAAACCACTCCATGTTTCAGCTGCGTGTCTGGTTTATTTTACTTGACTTTAGGGTTTCAAGGAGCACCCATTTTCCTACAGATAACTCAAGCTTATCCTTCTTTATGGCAGAACAGCTCCATGGTGTAAATACTGCATTTTCTGTATTCATCTGTTGATGGCAGACATATAGGCTGCTTCAAAGACTTAGCCATTGGGAGTTGTGCTGCTGGAAACCAGGGTGTGCGTGGATCACTGTACTGTGCCGACTTCAGCCTTTTGGAGAAAGAAGGGGAGTGTCTGGGTCAAATACAATTTCTAGTTCTAGCTTTTTGAGGACCCTCCACACGATTTCCACAGTGGGTGTGCTAGTTCACACTCACCCCAGCAATGTCAGTTGCTCTCTCCACATGGTCTCAGTGTGAGCTCACCATGCCTCGGCCTCCTGGTGGTGGGATACAGGCACGAGCCACCACACCCGCCTAGGGCACCTGTATTCTATTTTTAAAAAAAGATGATTCATTAATGTTCTAGTGATGATGATGGGTGTAGAACCAGCTCGTGAGCAGTACTAAGGAGCACTTTGTGAAATGTTTGGAGATTTCATGAGATACAGTTTGATTGCTTGATATTAGCCATGCTCCTCAAGAGGGTCTTAAGAAATGTTAAAAACTGGACGTTGATTTTTAATGGTAACTAAGTCTTACAACATGAGCTGTTCAAACCATGCAGAGAGCCTGGCAAGCAGAGCCCGTGAACCCTTCCAGGGTTTCCCAAAGGACCTTGCGCTTTTATAAAACTTCCTGACAGTTTTACGAAAAAACGGTAGCACCCTGACTGTCCAGTGTCTAAATAGGGAAGCCAGTGGCCCTCTTCTTCCAAAGAGAAAATTGTCTTTGTCCAGTGGATGATTATTTCAGTGCAGTATTCACTGGCGTCGGCTGTTTTTTGGTACAGCGCGCGGACCGTGCTCAAACTTCCAAAGGCTGGCGTTGACTATTTGGACGCACATGGGAGTGTACCCTGATTGGCACAGTGAGTTGCAATTGTAATTAATTTCAGTCTCCAAAGCAACCAATCATGAGAAGTCAAAATGTGTGTGACATCAGGTACTTCCGAGAACAGATCTGACCGAATGGACTGTTTCTGACCCAGGACTCTGAGAAATAAAAAGAATCTCTTGTCCTTGCGAAACTACACTGGGGTTTAGAGTTTAGTGCCCTGTGTGAAGTTGATGGGTGGAAACAAGGTCCCTTTGGTGGGCTGGGTTTCTGGAGAGCACCAGGAGGGGCCCAGGAGGCAGGGCAGAGACAGGACGGCTCCCGGGTCACTGCCCACTTCTAGGCGGGGCCAGACCCAGGTGCAGCCCCTCGACCCTGGGCAGAGCCAGCCCAAAGAAGCCCCAGAACATACCCAGGCTGCGGTGCTGTTACTAGAGTATCGCCCCCGAGCATCTCAAATGAAAATGGATATCCATCTGAGAAATGCTTGAAAAAAATTTTTTTTCATTGATTAGCAGGGAAGTCCCTACAAAATAGGGCCTGTTATACAATTATTAATTTCATCTCAACGTGAAAAAAAATCTGTGAATCTGTAGAAGCTACAGCAGGAAAAAGTTGTCGATTTCTACAAGCAAAATGAACAAGCTTCGTTTTGTTTGTGTTTTGGCCGAGGGCTCAGGAACCCCTGACATCCAATAGCCTCACAGTCCGGGGGCTCAGGACACAGGGAAGCCAAAGATGGTCTGGTCCCTTTTTCCTGTCTAAAAGGCTCTCTGGCTGGCTGTGGTGGTGAACACCTATAATACCAGCACTCAGGAGGCTGAGGCAAGAGAATCGCTGTGAGTTTGAGACCAGCCTGGGCCACACAGTGAGTTCCAGGTCAGTCTCACTACATAGTGAGACCCTGTCTCAAAAACAAACAAACAAACATAATAAAATAAAAACAAAATAAAAAGCTGTTTGTTTTCTGAATCAGATTCATAGACCAGCAACAAATAGCCACCAAAGATGGATTCTCTCCACCCCAAAATGGAAAAACTATCATTTTCCTCCCCTTCCTGAAAAAGTTAACCTTTTCACAACCCCCAGGAAAGAAATTGCTGTCAGAGACAAAAAACTTCTATGGACGCATTGAGATCAGCATTTAAAATGGCAACTGTCATGAAGTAAATTTTATCTGAAGCCACCTTCATCACTTTTAGGAGCAGTTCTTAGGCACGGGCAGGATCTGAGAGCCTCGTCTGCTGTAATTTGCCCTTGACACTTCAAAAAAAGTCCATAATTAGGTGGGAGGGATTGCAAGAGAGAACAATGTTGGACACTTAAACTGTTTTATGCCTGCATGGATCGTACACACAGCCTGCGTATTTCTGTGGGTGGATTGTCTTACCGTACACCTGCGTGGGGATGGAAGCTACGCAGTATATGAATTGGTTCATTGGTTTTGGTTTTATTTTTTTTCGATCCTATTTTGGCCCACTCTCTAGGTTTGCTTGTAAACTTTTACTTTGTGTACAGTAGTCACTCCCTGGTCTTAAAGGCCCGTGTGTGGCCACTACCACGTTTCCATGACCCTCGAAGCTGTTTGGCAGTGTGACGATGTTTCGGGGATGGGTCCTGCCGTGGTCTCCAGTGGAAAGAAAATCTGAGCCAAGCATGCAGTGCGAAATTTCCTAGCACTCACATTGAAACAAGAACGATGAAATTGACTTAATGCTTTATTTTACCCAATATATCCAATCGTGTTATTTTAGCATAAGTATTTTTAAAAACAGATAATTTTGCATTTTTTCACACCACATCCCTGAAATCCAAGCTTATTGCTTTTGTGACGCCTCCTGGTGTGAAGCCGCCCCATTTCTGGGACTGGGGTCCCCAGAATAACCCCGTGGAGCTCTCAACACTGGCGGGACAGCAGGTGTCACTGTTGCTTTCGCCTAATGGATTCAAACTTCTTCCATTTAAATTTTATTAAGTGACACACATATAATCAATTTTTTCTGTTGCTGAGCATAGTGTGCACATTTCAGGAGGCTGAGGCAGGAGGATTACTGTGAGGTCACGGCCAGCTTGGTATATAGTGAGCATTTCATTTTTTTCTCTTATAGCAACAATACTTTATTCCCGTAAAGGAGCTGTTGCTTTTCTGTAGTGAGGCTGTGCATTGTTGCTACTCTCCTGGATTCTCAACTGCTCTTGAGATTGTCTCTGGATTCTCCGTTTACCAGCACAGGCTCTTCTTACCTTCAGACAATAATTTTAGCATTGCTTTTTAGTGTTTCTGCCTCATTTCTTCCTGTTTTTCATTTGTCTTGTTTAATAAGCAATGGCTATTTTTAATAGAGTTTTGTTTTTAGCCGAAATGGAAAATAGTCCTTTCCTATTTTACATCCCTATAATAAAAGTGACCAGAAAGACTGGGAGAAATAATGACTATATTTCAAATGGGAAAAAAGACTTCTTAGGGAATCACGGGCTGATGAGAGAGAAGAAAGCATAACTGAGTAGTTCAGCAACTGGCCACCTTCGAGTTCCAGGAAATAGCATGGATGGAAGTGAATGATTCTTTCGGGGAGGCAAAGACAGAATCCCAGCAAGACCCAAAGAGCCGAGCCAGGCAGGGCAGCCCATTCCTATACCCTAACATTCTGGGAGGCTGAGGCAGGAGGATCCTAAGTTCAAGATCTGAGGAGGCAACCTCGTGAGGCCTGTCTCCAAACCAGAAGGGCCGAGCATGATGTAGCAGTGTGGTAGAACGAGCGCCTACCTGGCTGGCATGTGCAAGGCCCTGCGTTTGAAACTCAGTAAAAGGTAGAAGCAGGGAGTCCTGGAAATGCTTTCTTGGTCGGGGCTTTCCTAAGTGCTACGGATTATGAACCATGAGGAGGAGCAGGAGGCAAGACGAGAAGGTGGCCAGGGAGAGGCTTAAACCCCGGAGACCTGGGCACAGGGGGTCCGGCACGGGGGCAGGAGGGGAGATTGCAGAGGCATTCACATGACACGCCCAGGGTGCTGCTTAAGGCTTCCGGGAAAGACCTTTGAGGAAAGTGACTGTTGTCAATCCTGGGACAGATGAGGAGACCCCAAGGTGTGACACAGCAGGGCAGAGGGCCCAGGGAGCATCAAGGAGGCAGAAAGGACAGAGCCAGGCAAGAGACCAGTTGAGTGAAGTCCACAGGAAACGGAAAAGCAATCTTTCTGTCTTGTTCTTTGCATCGTGACCAGGAAGAATTATTTTGGAAGGAAGTTGGCACTCGGTGCTAACCCAGTCTGAATTCCCGCATCAGCGATGCCCCTGGTCACGCTGTCTCTCCTCGGCCATAAGCATTTGGGGTTCGCTGGCAAGACGGGAATTGTCACTTCCTGTAGCGGTGCCGGGAGGTGGCTTTACTGTGTACTTACGCAGCAGTCCCTGGGGAGTGGTGTGTTCATGCCTTGTCCCTGTCTCCCTGCCCCCAGGACTCTCGCAGAGGCAGCTCGTGGATGGCCGCGCAGCAAGCCTGATGGAACAGGACAGAAGCAGCCATGCGGCGGGCGGCACACTCAGTCCGTTCCTGGTCCCAGCGCCCGCTCCCTGCCAGCCCGAGCCTCTGGCGGCCAAGCTGCAGAACGGAAGCCCAGCCCCCGAGGCGAACGGGGACACCAGGTGGCAGGCCCTCAGGAGCTGGCCCGGGGTCCCCCCGAGCGGCCGCGCCAGTCCCGACTTCCTCCACGAGGGCAGAGGCTTCTCCTGGTGCCTGGAAAACGGGGGGATAAAGCGCACAGTCAGCGAGCCGTCCCTCTCCGGGTTCCAGCAGAACAAGAAGCTGAGACAAGACCAGAAGGCCAGCAGAGAACGAAACAGCTGCGGGGAAAGCCCGGAGAGGAGCCCCGCCGGAAGCAGCAGCCAGCCGGCCGCCCCCGAGGCGAGCGAGAACAGAGAACCCCGGAGCTCCGGAGCCCGAGAAGACGCAGTTGAAGATCCCGCCACTTCTCCAAGGCGCGACTGCAACGGGCCAGAAAACCCAGAGTACCGGGTTCCGGGGGAGCAGGAGCAGAAGGGTGCTCAGTACCGAGACGAGAACATTGCGTTACTGCTGAAGAACAGGGCCGCCCTCGTGCCCAATGGTGCTACAGATTCTGCCTCTTCCCTGGAGAACACGCGCGATGAACGCCCGGAGGACACCCTGTCCCGGTGCGACCCGGATTGTATCTCCGTCCCGCTGCAGAGAGCCGCAGCCTGCAGCCACGCCGATGCCAGCCTGGCCTCTCCTCCCAAGGCGCCCTGTGCAGTCGCCCCGCCATCGCATACCTCAGGGCAGATCGATCTGCCCCCAGAGCCAACCGCGGTGGCCACCGAGGCCTGCAACACAGGCCGCGCCAGGCCGCCGGCCGCGATTCCAGATACCTGCCCCTTCCAGAGGCCGGTGCAGCAGCAGGAGCCGGAGAACTGCCCGGGTCCCGCGCAGACCAGTGATGGTGCCCAGGGAAACTCGGTGCTGGCGTCTGCCGAGGGGCTGTGTTCAGGGTCCAGCAGCAACTGGCAAGCTGCTGGAGACAGCTCCCAACAGTATTTACAGCAAGACAAAACCAATGGTGCTTACTTCAAGCAGAGCTCAGTGTTCCCTACGGAACCCACGACCACACCACCTCTGCCGCAGTTGCTTCTCCCCCCACCTCCCCCTCCGTCTCCTCCTCTTTTTTCCGCAGGAAAAGCCACGCTGCAGAATGCAGTTTCAGAAGAACACCACCAGTTCCCCAACCAAAGCAGCGTAACTCTCCTAAGGGAAGTAAAAATCGAGGCTGGACCTGAGGCTCCCCCACCCCCAAGCCCCAGTCCCTCGCCTTGTGCGTCCGGCCCGGCCCCGAGGCTTCTGGGAGGGCCTCGGGGTGATGGTGCCCCTCAGAGCGGCTCAGGCCTGCCAGGGCCCATGCCCGCCTGCGCCCAGAGAGCCGAGCCAACACCAGACCGCGTGGACCCCCTCCAGCTCAACCCCCAGGCCCTCAGTCTGGGGAGAGAGGCGCAGAACCCCTGCCCGCCACAGCTGGGACCCAAAGAGCCCGAGATTCTGCAAGATCAGGCCCAGCAGCAGGCTCGAGGTCTGGTGCCCTCAGCCCAGCACTATGTGAAACCGGGGTGGATCGAGCTGAAGACCCCTCCCGTTCACCAAGCCCAACCCCAGCAAACATGCAGCGAGCCGTCCCTGTGCTCCACGCTGCAGTACCAGCCCCGACCTGCTCTGCACCCGACCTCTAGGCCATATACTGGAAACCCCGCGCCTGGGGCGCTGGTGGGGCCGGCTCAGTCCCCGGTGCTTCGTGGCGATGGGAGGCAGGGCCAGCTGCAGGGCACCGTGGACCAGCAGCTCCAGCTCGCACTCCCCTCCCGCCAGCGCCACGTTTCCAAGGCGGACCCCTCCCCTGACGCCCGCGCACAGGCGCTCTGCGGCCCTCCGTATCGTTTCCAGCAAGCTGCAGATCCCCAATCGGAGAGAATCCTGTCCCCGTTGTTGAGACGGCACTTGAATCTGACTGCACAGCTGGACCTGTTTTCAAGCTCGCACCTTATGCAACACAAGCCCTCAAAGCAGGCAGCACAAACACAACCACCCCAAAACTCACAATTCCCGCAAAACCACCACCAGCAGCAACAGCAGCACAGACTACAAATGAAGAATAAAGAACAAACGCCTCCGACTTTTCCTCGCCCCCAAGGTAACAGTGAACTGCAAGGAGAGGGACTGTTCTTTGGCCACATTAAAGTGGAAGAATGCTCCGGCGGGGAGAGCCAGTGTTCAAAAGCGCGTGCGTTCCAGACTCAGAACGCCCAGGCGGGATTGGAGCAAGGACGGGATGTGAGCAGTAGGAACTCCCCCTATGGCCAGATCTTGAAATCAAATGCAAGCCAAACCCAGATTTCCTGTTCGAACAACGCACACGTAGTTCCAGAGAATAAAGAACAAGGTACACCTTCCGAACCCCCTGCGGGAAACAGGACCCAGCACTTGCCGTACCTTCCACACGCTGTGCCTCTGAGGCCAGGGGTCCTGCACGGCTGCTTTCCAGAGCAAGAGCAGAAGCAGCCGCAAGCGCCGGCTCTGCAGGGCTACACAAGCAGAAGCCACGATGAGTCTGCACAGCAGGCCGCACAGCTGGTGCAGCAGAGGTACTCGGTGCACAACCCAGCCAAGGCTTTCCCTGCGCCCGAGCAGGGACGAAGTCACACTCAGGCCCCTCCCCAGAAGGACATTCAGAAGCACGCGGCACTGAGGTGGCACCTCCTGCACAGGCAGGGACAGCAGCAAGCCAAGCAGCCCCACGCGGAACCTTGCCCCCGCCCGATGAACAGGCCGATCAAGCTAGAGCCCGGGTCCACGCCCCACGCCTGTGCTCTCCCCGGGGCCGGGCAGCAGGACCCCAGGGTGTGGAAGAAGCCGAGCAAGCAAGAGGCTCCTGCCCTGGGCTGTGAGCATGCGCAGCCCAAGAGCATCCTCGAGACCATGGAGCAGCACCTGAAGCAGTTTCAGGTCAAGTCCTTGTTTGACCATAAGGCTCTGGCCCTCAAGTCACAGAAACAAGTGAAAGTCGAGACATCCGGGGCCCTCATGGTGCTGTCCAGAAAGCTGAGCGCCTCGGAGCTCAGTGGCCTGGCCTCCTCGGGAGAGCCGCAGGCAGCCCCTTCCGAAAAGACGCCAACCAAAAGAACAGCTGGCTCTGTTCTCAATAGTTTTATAGAGTCACCTTCCAAATTACTAGAGACCCCGATAAAGAATTTATTGGATACACCTGTCAAAACTCAGTATGATTTCCCGTCGTGCCGATGCGTAGGTAAGTCCAGAGGAGCCCGACGCGCACGGCGCTTACCTGGAATTAGCAGATTTGGCTTCACATGTGGGGTTTTCTTTTTCTTTTTAAAAAAATATCGAGTCTGGGAGCGATTTGTAAAGGCTCATAACTCTGAATCTTACGTTTTTGTCTTTAAATGACCGATTTGGGTGCTGTGTGAGAGAAAACCTCACGTGCAGTTTTTTTCAAAAAAATTGAAGCAATTGTGTGCGTTCACACCCCTCTCCCATTTAGACCTTTTAAAATACAAATGCATCTGTTTTAGGTTAATCCCTCTATTTAATTCTGAAATCATTCCGGACAGACACACAGCCGAGGGGAGAAAAGGAAAAATGTGTTACCCTTTAAAAGTAACTACCACATACGAACTAATAGAGGAACTTTTAATTTTTTAAAATTTAGGCTTAAATAGTAGTTGTACAAGATTTCTGGATAATGAGGAAATTATTTTAGATACTCATGAGTTTATCCTTTTTCTTATACACTTAAAATGTGATCGATACTAATTTTCATTCCATTTTCGCTAATATTTCACCTTGATAAAAATGAGACTTTTTAAAACAACAGCTTTTTGGGTCTGGGGATTTAGCTCAGTTGCACCTCTCAAGTGCAAGGTCCTGAGTTCGTTCCCCGGTACCAAAAAGAACAAAAAGAAAATTAAACAGCTTTTTGTTCGAGTTGAGTACATGAGGCCTCTGAGAATAAGGAAGCATTTTTGTCCATAGATGAGGACCCTGACAGGGACACCCGGGGCCTTGGTGGAGGACATCGGGAAGGACATCGGGAAGGACTCGAGCAGTCCTGCCTGCTCTTCGTGGCTGGTAAAAGTGCCACCACCCACGTCCTCCCCACTAGTGGGGCTCTGGCCACTTCACCATCACCACCCATCCTCGGCACGCTGATCCCTCTTTCACCCTGGCTCCCACCAAACGGCTACAGCACAAAAACCCGGGTCTGGATTGAATATTCTTATTTTCAAAACAGAATATAAACGATGTGGGAAAGTGACCAGAAAAGGGCATTCTTGATAATAAACCTAGTATTATCTGGGGTATGGGATGGACAGGAAACCATTTTTTTAAAAAAATCTTTTTACATCCCAAGTGGCAGGAAAACTTCTAGTCAGCTTTAATTTTTTTAAAGTTTTAGTTTAAAAACTCAAATTATATCACATATAATACATTCTAATTCCTTCACTATTTTCTTCATTGAGTCCCACTCAATTGTTCTAAAGTAAATAATTTCTTATACCATATCTGAACCGTAATTTAATAAATTTTTTCCAGTAGTCCTCATGTACATATACTTAGTTATCTGGCACATTTTTTAATAGACCCATCCATCAATTTACTCATTTTCAAGAATAAAACATTTTTAAAGTCACTTAAGGCCCTAAATGTGGCACTGGGGGATAATCTTTGTGGATGTAGCCTTTATATTTAGTATCATTGAGGTCTAAAATAATAATCTTCTATTATCTCAACAGAGCAAATTATTGAAAAAGATGAAGGTCCCTTTTATACCCATCTAGGAGCAGGTCCTAATGTGGCAGCTATTAGAGAAATCATGGAAGAAAGGTAATTAATGCAAAGGCACAGGGCAGATTACCGTTTATCCTTTGTACATGTCAGACTTTCCCAGGCTCCCCGCAAAACGCAGTGAACAATTATACATCAGGGATTTTAGCAGGCCCCCCCTCCGGGCTTGCCAACATGCCACCCTCCATCACCAGGGAGTCACAACATTGGACAGGGCTCATCGTCTGCTCGCTGGCACGGGCTGCACACGAACACAAGAATCAGCCACCAGCCTGCCAGGCACAGGGTACTCAGGGCATTGAGAGAGGAACCAGTTTCCCTCCTGTAGCACTGTGGGTGGAAAGCTGCCAGGAGGCAGCCCGGCCCTAGCTGTGGTTTCTGCATCTTGTTTCCTTGTCCGTCCCAGGAGTACAAGCATTAGCGTGTAGGACAATTCTCCAAGACCCCAGGTGTGAGCTGATTTGTGCAGGGCACCTTTGCTAGAGCTGTGGCTGGCCCTGCCCCCAGTGGGGTGTGCGCCCACTAGCACCCTCATGGGCAGCAGGAGCACACTTGGTGTCACTCTGGCTCTAGTCCCCAAGCACTTCTGAATTATCATGTAGAAAGTCACTCAGGATCCACCCAGCTCGTACCTGGCAGGAGTGAATTTCTGTAATTGTGCTTCTATTAGCAAGCAACACATAGTGTTTTTGTCACAAGGGGAAATAGTCTGTTTCTGGATCTGTCCTATGTTTTCAGAGTGGCAAAAATACTAATCACTGGGCAGGCACCTTTTAAAAAATACAAGTATTTGAAGAACAGCTCTAGTGAAAATCTGTGATGATTCCTTTAGTTTTAAAACAGCTCAGTAAAGGACAAAAATAAAAAACATTTTACTAGACTGAATGTAGCAAACTAACTTAAAATGTGTGCTTTGTGAAATTATGCATAAAAATAAGCCTTCCCATCATTTTTACCCAATAAAGCTATAAAACAGTTCATTACAATTTTCAGTATATTTTGATACTGAAGAGAAACAAGACTAAAAGACTATTATCCAGTTTGCTTGGCTTAGAACTTTTTTTATTATTAAATAAACCATTCATTTCTCAGGATGTGGTCATAGAATAAAATTGTGCTCAAATGTTCAAATATTTTGGTTGCCGCTTGAGGCTGTTTGCTAATTGTGTCTGTGTGTTCTGTGGGTCTCTTTAAGGTTTGGACAGAAGGGTAAAGCTATTAGGATTGAAAAAGTCGTCTATACTGGTAAAGAAGGCAAAAGTTCTCAGGGATGTCCAGTTGCCAAGTGGGTAAGTTCGGGCTTCAGTCTGGGAATTCTGATTAACCTACGTCCAGGTCCCGCCCGTGGGAACGGGGCTGCCCAGGCTTGCCGTGTCCCTCTGGAGGAAGCAGACTCATTTTCAGATCATGAGTGGACTGCGTTTAATTGCAAGATTTTAGTAGTGAGGTGAAGGTCCATTCTGTTGTCTGCTTAAAGAATACAGTGGACCCTTGACTTACGAACTTGATTGGTTCCCAAGGGCAGGTTGTAACTCCAGTTGGTTGTAAGTCCAACAGATCTGGGTGTTTACCTGGGTACACACTATTGATAACAAGAGGCAGATGAATTTTCCATTAACCTGGTTAAGCCAAGTTGTTCATAGGTCAGGCCAGTCGTAACTTGACGGTCCACTGTAATTCTTGAAATATTAAGACTTAGTCCTTTATCCTTTAAATGCCCTAAATGTTCTCGATATTATGGAACCCTTAAACTCAGCCCCTGCAGTCTTATCTAGCTCTAGCTTGTTATTTTGTTGTGGGTTTGTTTTTGTTTTTGGTTTTTGGTTTTTGGGGGGGTTTTGTTTTTGTTTTTTGAGACCGGGTCTTGCTGTGTAGTTCAGCTCACTGTGTGGCCCAGGCTGAACTCCTGGCCACTCTCCTGTCTCAGCCTTCCGGGTGCTGGGGTCACAGGTGTGCACCCCTGCCAGCTGCAGCTCTGACTTTGACGCAGGTGGGTGGCTTTGTGGGGGCAGCCTGCTCAGACCGAAAGAGGTGTGGAGCCCCCGCCTCCTACACTGGGTGGCCCAGGTGGAGGGGCAGGAGAGGCAGCTGCGCCACCCACGGGCCTGCAGTGACCCTCTCCTTGGGGTGGTGGGTGCGGGGTGGCGCCCACAGGTGATCCGCAGGAGCTCGAAGGAGGAGAAGCTGCTGTGCCTGGTGCGGGAACGCTCGGGCCACACGTGCGAGTCGGCGGTGATCGTGGTGCTGATCCTGCTCTGGGAAGGGGTTCCGCTGCCCCTGGCCGACAAGCTCTACTCCGAGCTCAGGAACACACTGTGCAAGAACGGCACCCTCACCAACCGGCGCTGCGCCCTCAACGAGGAGTGAGTGGGCACGGGGAAGGGCGGAGGAGCCTCAGACTGCACTTTCTCACTCTTTGTTTTGTTTTGCTTGAAATGGCGTCTCGCTGTGTAATTCTGACTGGCTTGAACTCTCAATGATCCTCCTGCCTCAGCCTCCCGCTACTGGGATTGCGGCTGGGTGCTACCACTCCGGGCTGCTCCTTTATATCTTCGAAGCGGGGAGCAGAATGCCTGCCTGATGATTAGGTCACATGAACATGAGAGTGCTTTGCACACTCAGGCAGTGTGGCGGTGAGTTAGGGCGGATCTAAGCATCTGGCCTCGGCTGTACCAGGACAGGGACAGTCTGTGTGTGCCCTTGTGCCACCCACACCTCCCTAAGGGCCAGCACAACTCCTGAGTCCTACTGTCTCAAGCAAGGGAGGTTAGGTGAGGAACTCTGGGGTTCCCAGGTCAAGGAACTCTGGATCTCAAGCACAAGCACAAGGTTTGTAGAAGTCCTGCAGAAATGGCTGATTGGCACTTCCTTTCAGGCAAGTTCCGTTTCCACAGTAGCAATCAAGTTGCTTCCACTTGTACCTCTGCTAAAAATAGAAAAATTTCTGGCTGTGGCTAAGCATTATTTTCTAGGAGAACGAAAATTTGGAGTAGGGTGACAAGGGCATGCAGTTAAGTACAGTTAGTGCACCCATTGGTTAACTTTTTGTTTTTAACTTCGTCTACTTAGCAGGAAGCCAAAGCTGTTGCTTGGAGGAAATGTTACTGCTCTTATCCTTCTGCTGAGCTGTCCCTGCAAAACCCTGACATCACAGCCGCCTTCTCAGGCAACACGGAAGCAGTCACTAGTTACCTCGCTCCGAATTGGTTCAGAAATATCCTTTAGCTTTGCATTACAGTCTAAGTCTGCATCCGTCAAACCACAAAGCAGTTTGCCGAGCTGGTGGTAGCACCCTTTGCAAGGGCCCTAAGGAAATGGTCCTGTTGCTGGCTAACTGAGCCCTGTGATCTCGCTAACACTGCGTCAACACAGGGGTGTGCTCTCTGGGTTTTGGGGAGCAAGTCAGTGGCTTTCCGCAGCGTGGGCTCAGCCGGTGTGTTTCGTGATTGCAAAGACTAATTGGAAGGTAGACGTGGCCACACTCACACCTGAACTGCTTTAGATATAAAATACTTTTCAGTCTACCCTACTCCCATTCAAGTATGCATAGGTGCGTTGAATCATACGAGCTCCAGCAACCTGGGCTGGGACTGGAAATAGCTTCTCCCTAGGAATTCAGTAACAGTACACAATTGCTTGCTTGATTGAGTTAAATTTGTTTGCGGGGTGCTGGGGAGTTGAACTCGGGTCCTTACGCATACCAGGTAAGCCTCTTGTCAGTGAGCCAGGCCCTAGCCCCTGACGTTTATTTATTGCGGACCAGCATGTGTTTTAAAAGCAGAATTCTTACCCTTGAAGAGTTGAAGTTGTAACTCACAGAGTAACTCCTTACGAAAATGACAGTCATGGTTGTGTCTATATTTCTTGAAGATTCATGCAAACTTTCACATTTGTTGTTCAAGGATTTTATGCAGCTCTGAGATTTTTCTCCTGGAGAATTTTTTCTTCATTTCCTTTAATTACCTTTACTCTCATGAGGATCTGACATAAAAGAAGTTTTGTTTAGAGCTTCCCTAAATTGTTATCTAGGATCGAAAACCATGAGTAAGGATCGGTGTCATAGTGACCCGACTAAGTGGTGAGGACAGAACTCGTCAGGGGTGCATTGGCACAGTAAGTTACCCGGGCCGCCTGTCCGTCCACTTCTGTCTGGAACCTCACACTAGAGAGGTGCAGTCATTCAGGTGATGTGGAGGCCGAGGCTTCTGCCTCCTTGGAGCAGGCCCCCAAATGAAAAATAATTAAAACTGAAGCAAGATGTGATGAAAACAGGCTTGGCAAGTAGCAGGAGGGACTTGGACCAGAGAGGGCCTTTGGTGTTTCTGCCGCCCTGACTCTTGGCCAAGTCAGGGCTGTGGATCTGCCTGTGTTCAGAGCTGTGGGGCCTGCATCCGAGTCCCTGCCATGCACCCTGACCACCCCTGCGCGTACGGGAAGAACCGGGGGGCGGGGGGTGTCGTGCACAGCCATCAGCTGCCGGTTTTTACATCGCCTTCAGGCCGATGCAGCTGTGGCTCCTTTAAAACTTTCCCATGAGGTTTCTGTTTTATGACTCAGCCTAATCATTGGTGGGGGGGGGAAGACTTGCAGGAGCCCATCTGTCTCCAGGACAGAGTCGAAGCCAGAAAGCTTCCGCCACAGTGGCTGCGGTTCGGTGTTTGCAGAAGTTTTATATTATGAAATCTTCCAAACGTGTCTATAGGGGAAAATAGAATGAACCCCACAAATTATCACGGAGCTTCCACCTTTGTACTTTACCCATTTTTTATATATTTCTCTCCGTTTTAAAACATTTTTAGGTACTGGGGGTTGAATCAGGAATGCTTTGCAGACTGCAGCCCTAGCCCTTTCTTGGTATACTTTTCTTTTTCTTTCTTTCTCTCTTTTTT